TACCTTTACTGTTGTATGGTTAGCGTTTTCCCCTTGTACTTTCTCTCGCTCCTCTTTGCTTTGTCTAGCTGTTATATCTACTTTTTATCCTTTATTTTGGTTTCTTTTAACCTTGAGCTATTACTCAATCAAGTGACCTTGTTATGAAGTCTTTTAAGGGAATCAAATGACAGTTCTTAGTCCACAGGAATTTAACTGCTGTTATTCCAGCCACATTTTGGCTTCTTATACGCTGATGGTGTTGGTCCATGAACTGGTGCTCACGGTGGGGAGATGAGACACGTGCAGAGAGAGAACAAATTAAGGGTCTTCAAGGGGAGAAATCTGACTGTGTGTCTGTAGTTTGCCCTTGTTATAAAATCCTGCAGATCAAAAGGCCCCACGGGTGAGGAGGAGAAGGAGCAAGAAGGCACATATGTGTATGTCTTTTCATCTTCTCTTTCTCTGTGGAAAGAATTGTAACCCTCCCTTCTTTCCCGTAGGGAGCAGGTAGGGAGACCAGAGAGGACTCAATGCGATGTTCTTGGGAGGGTGGAATAATTGAAACAACGGAGCTTTTGTTGCATCAGAAAATCTTAGTTTGGAGGGAGCAAAAAAGAAATTGCCAACCCTTCATCCCATCTTCTCCGTTTTAGTAAAGAACTCAGTAGAACAAGACACAGCAGGCTCAGTTCAGAACCTTGAAGCACGACACCATGATCCGAGAACCTCATCCATATGGTTCAAAGGAGAAGGAAAGGAAACTTGAATATATTTGGCAGCTGTGAGGCCAGACTGCAATAATGCACTAGAAATAAATTTAATACGTGTAAAATGTTTGAAGTTGTGAAATTAGGGTCCTGCAGAAAAATGAAATATAAAAATAGTAGATCATATCAAAGAGCTTTCGGGAAGAATCAGTGTAGACTACACAATAGAAGAGATGATGAAAAATACCGTGACACAGGGGAAATACTCCAGCCCCAGATTCAAAAAACCGTGATTTTTATTCTTGCCCTGATACTAGGCAGCAGTAATCTTGGACAAATCACTTAACTAATCCAGGCCTCAGTTTCCTCATGTGTAACAGGAACGGGTTCACTTACATTGACTAAATCTTAAAGATTCTTTAGTGCTTTAAAATTACACAAAGAGATGGCAACTAAGCACATGAAAAGATGCTCATCGTTGGCCATTAGGAAAATGCAAATGTTACAAGACATCATCACACACCTGTCACAATGGCCAGAAGGAAAAATAATGACAATACCAAATGTCACTGAGGATGCACAGATATTGGCTCACTTACACATGGCTGGTGGGAATTTAAAATCATACAATTACTCTGGAAAAGTTGGGCAGTTTTTTAAAAAAAATAAACATGCAATTACCATAAATTACCATACATACAGCCCAGCTACAGCATTCTTGGACATCTGTCCCATAAAAATGGAAATTACATTTACACAAAACCTGTACATGAATATTCATAACACATTTTTCATGATAGTCAAAAAATAGAAACAACCCAGATGTCCTTTAAATGCACTGCGGTACATCTATACAAAGGAATACTACTCAGCAGTGAAAAAGGACAAGTGGTTCATACACACAACAACCTGTGTGAATCTCTAGAGAATTATGCTGAGTGAAAAAAAAAAATCCCTCAAATTTACTGACTGTATGATTCTATTTATCTAAGAGTTCTTGAAACAACAAAATGACAGGACCAGATTAGTGGTTGCCTAGGGTTGGGGAGTGTGTGAAAGCTGAAGGGAGAAGTGGGTGTGGTTATGAAGGGGCAGCAGGAGAAATCTTTGTCGTGATGGACACACAAACCTCATGTGATAAAGCTGCATAGAGCTAAACACACACAAGTACAAGTTAAACTGGTGAAATCTGGATAAGGTGGATGGATTGTATCTATGTCAGTATCCTGGTTGTAATGTACTGTAGTTTTCCAGGATGTTACTGTTGAGGGAATCTGCATAAAGATTATGGAGGATCCCATTGTATTATTTTTTACAGTTTTATGGGAAGCTGTAATCATCTCAAAATAAGAAGCTTAATTAAACTAAATTGTGCATACTGCACTCACCCCTGTGTCCCCATGTGTGGGATAGTGTTGAGTAAATAGTGGGTGCTCAATAAATACTTATTTACTGAATGAACTGGGGGGAAGGGAGAGAGAAAGAACAAACTTGTGTGCACGTATAAAATAATTCTCATTTGGATCTCAAAAGGAGGAGCCAGCCACTACTTTAAGCCTAGAATAATAACTTGTATCCTACAAGTTCTACCTGATCATACGATCACTTCCGCAGTTATTCAGGATTCAACTGGAGTCTCCCATGTTGATGTTTGATGTTATTCCCCCTCCCCCTCCATCCCCGAGCCTTGGAACGGGGCATAAGTTAAAATGCATTTATGATAAATGAGTTTCGATGTGCAGTCTCCGTAGTGCTCAGAGTCTTGCTGACTGTAGCTTTATGAGAAGTCTTATAGCGTTAAGTGCTCCCGTTCTGTTCTGCTTCAGAGTTGTTTAGGTTATGTAGGTCTTTTTCATTTCAGAGGGAATGTTAGAAACAGCTTACCTACTTCTGCACCAGAGTCTCCTGGGATTTTGATTGGGATTTCATTGCTTCTGTAGATCAGGGTGGGGAGAGTTCATGTTGTAACAACATTGTGTCTTCTGAACCGTGGCACATCTCTCCATTTCTTTAGATATTCCCTAAACCCCTCAGCGGTGTTTAGGAGTTACAGTTTACAGGTCTGGCGAATATTTTGTCATATTTATCCCCAAGTATTTTACATTTTAAATAGTATTTAAAATTTTTCAATTTCTGATTGCCCATTGTCAGTGTATAGAAATGCTGTTTGTTTTGTATATTTAAATTACTTCTATTCCATTGAGTAGGACTCGGTCACAGCCTCCCCCCACTGCAGGTTTGGCTGGGGAATGTTACTATCAAGCTGTCTTCCCAAATGGAAAAAATAAAATAAAATTGATGAACAACTAACTAGTAACAGCCCAAATGTTGACTTAGGATGAAAATGTTCAGGATTTAGAAGACTCTTGAAAAAATGCTTCCAGGAGCACTTTTTTAAGTTCAAATACCTATATATATATGAAACAAATCATTGTGGAAGGATAAGATTCACTAGTGAAGCATAATGAAAACGGTAATAGAATCAAGCATATTCAAGTATTTGTCGTTTGATAAAGGTGACATTTCAAAGCTGCTGAGATGAACTTGGAGTTGTAATTTAATACAAAATCTTAGCAGCAAGGTACATGTGTTAAGTTTGAGATACCTATAAGATTGAGGAGATCTCTGAGCTGGAGATGAAAATTGGGAAAATCACCAAAAAACAGTAGCGGTAGAAAGATCCATTGACTGAGTCCTGGGTATAAGTTCAGAAGTTTAGCAGATGAAGAAGTAGCGAAGGGGACTGAGAAGGAGCCTGTGAGTTAGGCAGAAACTCCGTGTGGGAAGTCACATGGAGAAGTTCTTCAAGAAGGAAGTAATCCTTGCAGCAACTGACAGGTCACGAGAGCCGAGAATTGACCTTTCAGTTTAGCGAAGCCACTGGTGACCTTGGCAAGAGCATTTTCAGGGAATTATGGTGGCAAAAGCCTGATTTAAGGGGATTTAAGAGACAAATGGGAGAAAAAGGATTAGAGATAGCAGCTGTAGACAACTTTCAAGCAAGACAACTTTTTTGCTCTAAAGATAGGCAGAGATACAGTGTGGTGGCTGGGAAGGGCTGTGGTCAAGGGAGGATTTTTGTTATTTTAAGGTTAAAAAACTTAGAAGATGTACACACACATGCTGATGGGAATGATGCAGTAAAGAGAAAACAGATGATGCCAAAGCAAGAGGGAAGAATGGCCGAAACCAGGTCTTTGTCTGGTGAGAGGGCCTGGGATCCAGTGCATTCGTGGTGGGCGGACACAAGGCAAAAAACAGGAGCATGTGGCCCAGTCGCAGGTGGGTGGGCAGATGGGTAAGCCCCCTGAGTTCCCATCTTACCGCTTGTGTGTTTTGTGTGTAATAAAGCAGGGGAGAAGGGATGAAATAGTTGTCTGGAGAGAAATGGATTATCGCTGACAGACAGCTCTGAAGGCTCTCTTGAGGGTGGTGGTCATGAACTTAGCATGGAAGCAATCGGCTTAGTTTTTGTTTGTTTCCACCACGTTGGGCCACGTAGGTGCAGGTGCAGAGTAGGCAATGTTGATTGATCCAGGATTAGGTTTTCTCAGGTGGCTTGGAGGAAGTGAGAAAGGCCAAGGGGTGAGTTGAAGCTGGCTTGAGAGGGGAAGTGAGGGTGTAGGGCAGTGAGGGACGGGGACAGGGTGCTAGGGTCAGCCTCAGATGGAAGAATTGTAAGGGTTGGCACGTGAGAGGAAGAAGTGTGAGGTCTTGATTTCAGATTGCACAGGGTCTTCGCTCATGACCAGGTGAAAGCCAGGAGTAGAGGAGAGGATGGCAAAGAGCTGGAAAGCCAGGATATTGGAAGGGTTATCTATGTGGATACTGAATTTGTGCTCAACACCTGAAGCCTTATCTCTTATTTTCTAATATCCTTTGCTGCTGTTGGACTGATAACAGTTTCAGTGTTCTTACTCAGCAAGAGTTTCATGTCTCTTCTTTCACAGTTTGTTTCCTAGTCCTCAGCGCTCTATGGGATTTTTCTTCATAAAGAAGAAAGAAGTGCTATCTTTCATTCCTTCTATTGAATTTAAAATTTTTGCCATTCTAGTTCTCGTTTCCAAGAGTTTGTTCTTGCTTCTGATTAACTTTTCATAGCATCCCCTTCTAGGAAAAAGACATTGAGTTTTTGATAATCTGCATAATTTGTTGTACCATATACAGTTCATGTGTCAGAATGTGGTTCTTTTTCTCCATTAGGTTACTATCTGCACTCACGTATTTTATTTTTACATATAATTTTTTCCCCAATTGACGAAATATATTGTTATTTTTTAACATTAACTTTGAATTGTCTTTTCATTTTAGGTATCAAAAAGTAAAGATGGAAAAGAAGAAAGTGAAACTGTATCACCATCCGAAGATGAAGCGTTCTCCTGGCCAGGTCCCAAAACAGTTATGTTGAAAAGAACATCTCAAGGTTTCGGTTTTACATTAAGGCATTTTATTGTTTATCCCCCAGAGTCTGCAATTCAATTTTCATACAAGGTAAGAGAAGTGATTACGGTGAAACACAGGCAGTTCCTGTCTCCTTCTCGCCTTCCTCCCATCGTGCCTTCTTTCTGTCTTAAAAAAGGATTAAGTGTTATATCTGCATTTTTATAATATTCTTTTACATCTTTTAGATAGTTTTTCTACCTTCTAGAGCAAAAACTTTAATTTCCTCTGAAAGGTCCTGTTGATTATGAACACCAAATCTTTCTCACTAGAGCGTCTAATTCTGAACGTCATTCTCCTTTGTGTAATATGGAGCTGGTTTTCTAATATCTAGAAAGCTGGTGAGTTTTCTGGGCAGAGGGTGCAGAGGAAACAGTATGTTAACATATTTGGACAATTATAAAACGTTATTGGAATTAGACTAATACTTAACTCCCAGACATGTAATATGATGGCAAGTCAGAATTTAAAAACACAGCTTCTCACCAGAGTGAATTACCTTAATATACCTTGACGTATAGTAACATGGTCTAGTAAGAGGTGGCGTGGAATGATGACATGCTGGGTACTTGTTCTGTGTTCTTTGCTGTCTTTATGAGCGATCTCTCCCTTTATTATTGGCCCCGTGTAACAGATGTGGAAACTGGTCCCAGTCATATAACGAGTAAGTGGTGGACCTAGGAACGTGAACTTGGCCAACATGGATGCCTGATGCCTGGCTGTTGTACAACAGGGTAATGGAAAAAATGACATTCAGGAGACTTGTGAGACTTCGGCCAAGCCTCTAGATTTCTATTCTAATTTGAGGGAATTGAACTAGAAGATTAGAAAGTCCTTTCTAATTCTAAATATCTACAAATATAGGGCTGTCTTTTTAAAATGTAGTGTCAGATCACTTCTGGAGACCACACTCTTCTTATTATATCTATGTTAAATATTTCTTTCTAGTAAAATGTCTTACAGGATAAGGTTTTAAAAGTACTGAATAGTTTTAAGAGTTATGAGCAATTATTCATAATTGCTACCTTTGGAATTAAAATGTCCCAGTTCGGCTTTCCTGACATGTATAAAGCAGTTGAACCAGATTCCCTAAGAGTCTGCTTGATCTTAAAATGTCCTAAATACTATCACTTAGGTATTAAGGTCACATGTGAGAGTCATCGAAAATTTGAGTCCCTTGCTTTTATTTACATACTAAGACCGAATCTTCTTTTTTTTTTTCCATCTTTTGTTTTTGTTTTGAAGAAGAGCTCTGGGTCATGATGAACAGATACGCAGTACAGTTTTTATAAGATAATTGTACCCAACACAGGTTTAAAATGCATCATCATCATGATCATTATTGTTTTATTATTGGAAAATATTTCTAGAAATTTTAGTAGTGCAGCGTAACTGTTAACAGCACAGTCTTTGGAGCCAAAGACCCTCTCTACCACCTGCCTGCCATCTCTGACCCTTGGTAGCTTTGGTGCACCCTGAGTGCGTCTCCTGACAGACAGTGACAGCACCTTCCTCACAGGTGGCTGTGTTGAGTAAGTGATACATACATGTGAAACAGCACAGGAACTGGCACACAGTAGGTGCTCAGGAAACTTCAGCTATTAAGGCTATTATTTAACACAGATGTTCTTGCAAATAGTTCCCAGTCTTGTAAATTTTACATGGAAAATATATATTAAAATCTTTTCAATTATGAGAATGTGTTCATTCACTTCAAAGGAGTTTATAAAAATGAATACTATATAGCTTTCAGAGAAGGTGCAGTTAATACAATGTCTTTATTATGTTACGAAGCTGGCAACCCTAGCAGGCTCAGAACAGAGCTTATAACCAGGAAAAAAAAATGTATTTGGGCAGCAAGAATAAAGGTCAAAAATTATATAACAAGTTATCAGCCCTTTGCAAGATGTCTGTTTTTCTTTCCACAGTACATTGTATTTTTCATATGATAGAGGCTCAACAAATATTTGAATCAATGTGTTTTTATGCTGGTTTTTCAAAGTTGCTTTTCTAATTTCCCAGCTAGAGGTAGGTAACTTGGCAGAGAGATAGCTCGGTAGCAGTGAAAACAACCAAGTAGATAACAGCTCAAAATTGAATACAGGGAATTAAGTAGAGAGCAATTTGGAGCCAGTTTATACCATGACAGTTCTGGGTCCTGTAATAGCCTATAAACGCACATTTTATTAAGGTATAGTGCATAAATATGTAATGACCCGACTGGCCCTCTCTTCCAAATTCTAGATTCATCTATACCGCTGCCCACTTTTGACAGTTCTCTTTGGATGTCTGTTTCATGTCTTTGTTTGTTTGTTTGTGTTGGGGGGAGGGAATTAGGTTGATTTATTTATTTAATGAAGGTGCTGGGGGTTGAACCCAGGACCTCGTGCGTGCTAAGCACACACTCTACCCCTGAGCCATACCTCCCCACCCTGGGTGTCTGTTTTAGACACCCTACACTCAGTAAGTTAAATCTGAACTTCCGACGTCCTTCTCATAAAGTTGGCTTCACCCACCATCTTCCCATCTGCATTCACAGGAATTCCATCCTCTGGCCAAGGCACTGTTAGTGAGCTTGCTGAGGGAGAGCAGTTTAAACTGAATTGAGCCTCACTGTGACTTCACCAAGCTATAAAACATGCATTCATATGTGAATATATATTTTTTTTATTTTGTAGGATGAAGAAAATGGCAACAGAGGAGGTATGTTGTAAACGTTTTAATTTTTCTCTGTATGTTTTTCTACCCATGTGCTTCCATTCTTTAAATCATTTTAAATGAGATGATGTAGATTTTGGAGTTCAAATGTATAACAATCCTTAGAAGTGAGAGTCATAGAAATTAAATATTCTCCTATTTTTCCTGTGGACTTGAACATGTGATGATTTTACTGTTAATTATGTATCAGTGTTCATGTGGTGGACTAGATCATATGATTCTGAGGGAAGTAATTCTGAGATTTCTATTCAATTAGTAATCTTTTAAATTCACTGATTTCTTTTAGTGTGTGTTCTGTCTACCAGATTTATTGGTTCAAATATTGAGATGTAGTATTTTGGTTCTTAGAGCAGTCTTACTCTTGATCTAAACATATTTAATGAACTTAAAAGGAAAGTCAGTCTGGGGGTAGGTTTATGTCTTGAAAGTTGCCATTTATTTTTGTTTTAATTTTATATGAGCTTTGAATTAAAATTTACACGCAACTTTTATAAAATAAAACATTTATTTCTAGATGGCTTTAGACATGTAAAAAGTTATAAAAATAGTGAAGAGTTTCCATATATCCTTCATTCAACTTCCCCTAATGTTAAAAACATGTAACTGTGGTGCAGTTAACAAAAGCAAGACAGCAACTTTGGTACGACACACCTGCAGGCTTTATGTGGGTTTTGCACCTTCTCTGTTGCCAGATCCGACACTGCATTCACTATCACGGCCCCTTGCTCCTTCTAGCCTGTGATGCTGCCTCAGTCTCCCCTGTAATTCATGGCCTCGATACTTCCGAGTAGTACTGGTCAGTTATTTTGTGGAATGTCCTTCAATTTGGTTTTGTCTGACGTTTTTCCTATCATTAGTTTGAAGTTATGCATTTTTAGCAAGAAGATCACATTTGTACCTAATTGAAGTGTACTGTTACACTTAAGGTTTTGTTTTGATAAGTATGTAACTTGGGAAGCCACCATTCCAATCAAGATGTGATGTCAGAAAGAACCTTTTCATCATTCCACGAAGTCCCCTTGTATCACTTTGCTGTCAACACTCTGCTGGCCCCAGACCAACACTGATCTGCTTTCTGTCACTATTGATGACGTTTGCCTCTTCTAGAATCTCTTACAAACGAATAACACAATATGTACTCTTTTGTGTCTTTGACTTGGCATAATATTTTTTACAATTCACCGTATTGTACGTGTAGGTACTAATAGTACTACCTTTTTTTTTTTTTTTGCTTAGTGGTTTTCCCTTTAATAATAAACCATAAATTGTTTATCCACTCACCTGTCGATGAACCTTTGTAATACCCTATCTGATCTGAGGTCTTGGTATGGTTACGTTAAGTGTTAAAATGAGAGGAAAATGGTTTCTTTCAGCACTGTCAAAGTAATTGGAGAGTATAGGGCGAGGTAAGACCCTCCCTAGTTGTCACCATTGTGCAAGATGGGCCACTCCTGTGTCACCATCTGTCATACACCAGGGCTCAGGATGAATTCCAAATATTACTTGGCCATGGTGGGGAAAGGAAAAACGGACAAAACCAGCATAGCAGAAGAGGACATGGGTCTTCTGTTTCCCCGTCACCCTATGGAATGATGTGCTGATGCCTGGGTGACCTACCAGACATACAGCACCTAGAATTTCGTGCCTGTCATGTTCTAGTTTTTATTGGGAGAAATATTCTTCTAATAAATATAGAAGGACATAGTTATAAAACTTTACTATGCAGATGATTATATATCTGACTTAGCTCACGGAAATGAATGGATTTAGTTATATGCTTTGACTGGAGAGAACAGACTTAAATATTTGTAAGGGAAGACTTGATCTACATCTAACAGGAGATGGGGGGAGGCACAATAGAATAGGACTAAAGGCTGTGATCTGCTGGGGAAAATTACAGTTTAAGTACTATTTTATTTATTAATTTATATTTAACCTCATTAAAAGGAGAGTTTGTGTCCATATACAAAAATACATGTATTTATAGTAAGATAAAAATAAAATTAAAAAGTTCATGGTGAGGGGGAAATGAACTGACATTCAGGAGATTTAAAACATATGAAATACATGTAATATGTAGAATCTTACACTGTTGTCAAAAATGGGCTATAAATTTGCTTTTGAGCTTTTCCAGTGGCAAAAAAGAAAGGAAAAGAAAAGAAAAGAAAAAAAAAAGAGGAAGGAAGGAAGAATTAGTTAAGGATTCACATTATGCATAAAAAAACAAAATCTGGTTTGCACTCAAAGTCTGAGACAGATTTCTCCTATGGCTCCTCATAATGGAAGACAAAGGCTAGTACAGTAGGCAGTATCCTCAATACCGTTTATATGACTGTTTATAAACAGCCCTCAATGTAAGCTGATTTCAAAACCCCATGGTCCAACTTAGTGTAGAGGGCTTCTTAACTGGGGACAGTTTTGCTCCCCAGGAAACACATGGCAACATTGTGGACATTTTTGATTGTCACAATTGGGGGTTTGGGGTTGTGTTGCTGGCAGCAAGCAGGTAGAGGCCAGAGATGTGGGTGAGAATCCTGCATTGCACAGGGCAGCGCTCCCACCCTCTCCCCAAACAATTACCTGGCCCAAGATGTTATAGTGCGAGTGTTGAGAAACCTTGGATTATCGGGGTGGACACCAAAACAATGGCCCAACCATACAGGTCCCCAAAAGTGTGGCTTGATCTGGTGACAATAATCAGATCATTTAGAAGAATAAGTATTCAAGACTGCATATCCAGTGATGTTTAATGATCATTATCCCTCACAACTGAGTTTTGATCTGAATTGAGCTACTGCTATAGTTTGAGGTTAAATTATCATTCTACTGGCATTGCATGTTGTCAGTGAAGGAATAATCATAAGAAAAACATTATAGTTCAAGAAAATAAAAAATCAATATATTAAAAGCTACAAGATAAAATAGCTAAAAGAAAAAATCAAAGAATGTAAATAATTGAAATGTAATAAACTTAACATCAGGAATCGAACAGATTGAGGGAGAAAATAATTATAATAAGCTAGATTAACACACGATTTAATTTAAAAGACTAATAGAAGAATTGAAATAAACACAACATAACTAAGGTTTTAAAATAAGAGAAATAATGAAGGTCAAGCACCTTAACTTCCTACAAAGCAAGCCCATCTAAGATAAAGTCCAGAACTGTGTGTTTTCTTGCTAAGAAGAATATGAAAAGATGTGAGAATACCTAAAGAAATTATTTTATGATTTGCTTGTAAGATACTTAAAAGGAGAACTGCTTTTTTTTTTGGAGGGTGGTAGAAATTAATATATGATTGAGGACTTACATGTTACTATCCTGTTTAATCCTCATTATCATGCTGTGAGGTATGAGACAATATCCCCACTTTGTAGGTGAGGAAACTGAGGCTGAGAAAGATGTAAAGTAACCTGCCCAAGATCGCACAGCCACGTGACAGAGCTGGACTTCCAAGTCAGGCATGTGGGACTCTGAAGTTCACCTTCTTTAAACTTCTGTTGAGTTTAAAAAAAAAAAAAGAAAGAAAAAAAGTTTGACTTATGTGGGGTCTAGAATTAGTAAATTAACACTGGGTATATTTCCTATGTTAGGAAATTAACTCTGTGAAATGTCTCTGCATTGAGAAAGTTAAAAACAAGGAAACTTGTTGCATATTTGTGAATACTTTAGGACAGAGAATTCACAAGAAGGTCAGGGAAGCTCCATGTTTAGAGGCCTCGAGCATCTCTGAGGAGCACCCATCACTGAATACCTGGCTGGCAGTGGACCTGGGAAGCTGAATGAGTTTAAAGAGTTCCCAGGGGTCTGTCTCCTTTTGCCTCCCAGGGCCCGGCTTGCTTTCATCATCCTAGTTGGCAGTGGGGGTCACAGGCTGCTCTTCAGAGACCTCCTTATCTTAAGTTCAGTCCTCATAACACCATTTCAACCGAGCTGATCAGATCATCCATCAGAACATACTCTGCGTGAGAAAAGTTCTTCTGATTCGTGAACAGTTATTTAGAATACCACCTATTTAGAGAAAGACTACATGTAATCTATCATTTTGATTCAACGGAATGTTTCAATATTTATTTTATAGTCTCATTTCCTTTTCAGACTTACTTTCAAGTGTATTGAGATTATGAAATCCTTGCATGTGAATTTTGTTTTAATGAAATAGAATCCCAGCCTCCGGTATAATGATCTGAGTCAGAGTCTAGAATCACTGGAGAGAAAATAATTGCCAGAATTTTATTCGAGCTCCTAGGAGATCCTGCTCTGTTGCCAAAATTCTGTGAAACAGTTGAAAGGTTTTGTTTTTGTGTTCTTTCTTTTTGGCAAATTAGTGGAGTCTCTTTTTGCCACTTAATTTTCTGATTATGCTCCTTTATCCAACTTTTCCACTCTGTTATATTATTTCTCATATATATCTTGTATATGTGTACTCACTTGTGTTTTAAAAGTTATTTTTCTTTCTTGTTGGTTAGTTTTCTGCATTATAATGCAAATAGTGTTTACAAGAACGCAGTAAAATGTTTTATGGTGATAATAATGCTGGTGGATAACTGCTGTCTGTGGATGTCCTGTTTTCCCTGAAATCATAAATTCATAATAAAAATAATTGAAAGTTTGTAATTACCATTATTTCTCTTTTACTTACTCTGTGAGTAAAAATTCTACCTCAGTGTAGTTGTAGGGACATTTTCAATGTTGTAAAATGTGCTTCAATAACTGGTAGGTTTCTACTTTGGCATTAACATGTATATTCAAACACATTAATAGTAGGAAAGAAGTGTCTAAGAATTAGATAAACTTTTTCAGTAGTAAAAGTTTGTATTTTGTGGTTGCAGTCACTTCTAACTAAACAGCTCTTTAGTCTATGTTCAAGTCTTCTAATGCAGGATAATAATTATAAACCTTCCTCAAGCCACCTCAGGAAAGATGTGTTAATTCTTTTTTTTTTTTTAAATTGAAGTATAGTCAGTTATAGTATGTCAACTTC